TATTTGTAACCAAAACACGAATTTAAATTCGAAATGTATGTTTTAAATACAACAAATTGAAAAGTAAAATTAGAAAAATATTTTTTTGAACTTTCCAGTTTTGGCCCGAGACACCGCCCGATGCAAAACCTTCATAAATAACGACATTTTTTTTCCTACTGACAGGTGGTGCTATGACAAATCTTACATTTCAAATTTAAACGCATTAAGCTGATTCAATGTTCTATAGATACACATCCTAATGACGCCTTCTGAAATGATAAAAATAAAACAGTCCGGCGACTGCTTTAAATATAAAAACAAAAGAGAAGGTTCATAATCAAAATGCATTGGACAAAGGCATGTACATGCACTTTTGATTACCTCGATCTTTTATGTTCTACCTATAAAAGTTCCAAAATTAGTAAATGCTATTTTATTATTAAATTCAGTATTGTTGTTCCACGTTGCATTACTGCGACTATCACAGGAAAGTAATAATTAATAGCACAACAAAGGGTGACGTAAGAAGGCGCCTCACACTTTTAAACATACGAGAATTTGGGTAACATGTACGCGAATGTACTTATAATGATAATGAAATTGTGAAATAGGTGGGAAAATTTAGTTTTTTATCACAATTGTTCAAGTGAAACTACGTGTGTAATGAAAAAATAGTTTACATGCGAAGTGCAGATTAAATTTTCTGCACCTGCAAATACCTATCAAATTTGGAAAAATGCGCTTTTATTTGATAATGCACATCATAGTGCAGAGACAAAACAGAAGTACAAAAACAGGGATAATTTAAGTACATACTTTTTTTATCTTCATTGTTTTACAAGATGGGTAATAAAATAAAAATAGGATGATGAAGATGTTGAACAATGTTCTAAACAGCCATAAAGTCGCCAAATTTTTTATTAATGATAAGATACAGACATCGATCATAATAACGTATGTATAATGGTCCATTACACGTTACATAAAACTTTTACAAACAAGTCAATCCTTTGTTTAATTAAATGTGGTTGAAGGAACTCGAAATTATACATGATTGGATTGCTACGTCGAACTCATGTTTTTTTTGTACTTGCTTCACCGTTAATTACTTCGACATTATCTTTTGAAATTTTTAAAAAATATTGTCATTTTTTTTTGGAAAATCGATTCCAAGCTGTCAAACTGTCCAAATTTTGGAAGTTGTTGAACACCTTGACAGATTACTGGAATACATTTATTATCTGATATCACTATCATATGTGACAAACGGAGTGGGCGACTCCCAACAACGGGCTTTAATTTTTCGTTTTGGATAGCACTCACCGAGAACTACTTATTTGTAAAGTTAGGAATAAAATTTATATATAAATCTTAGACCGTTTAGCGACGATTTTGATTTCCGTCCATATCGAATTGGAATGGCTTTTCAATAATTGACTGCTATTATGTGCTTACGTAAAAAAAATTCTATTTAAATCTCCACCTGATGACCAAATGTTAACAACACTATAAATTCGTTTTTTTTAGGTTTTTTTCAATAGAACGTGTTATTATAAATATGGTACTAGGGTATGGAAAACAAGTCCATAAAATTTATTTTTAAAATAAGGATATTGACAACACCAAATCGCTCCTGTCAAATAACTGCAATGCCAAAATCATAATTTTAAAAATAAATTTCATGGATTTCTTGAGGATTTTTTTTCAGTCGTATGGTATGTTTATACTTAGCTAGTTACTCCCTTTTTACTTCCTGAACATAGGCCAAGGAAGTATTGCAATCGAGTCCGTCGACCGACTTTCTACTTTTGCGTTTTCTCGACCTTTCATGACCCCTAGAGTACGAAGAAATAGGTCTCCCGTTTCCGTCTGTCTGTCTGCCTGCCCGTCTGTCCGTCCGGCGTCGCGGATTTTTATTATTTTAAATATAATTATCATAAACACAAAACGTGTATTATTATTACTTAGGTTCACGCTCCTCGATATTTCATTAATTATTAGAAATTGAAAAAAAATTAAGAGCAAAGCAAAATTATTTCCAATTATACAGAGTATCCTGTTTTTAAAACGTAACACATAACTTAGTTTTTTTCAAACTGAATACCTTATATATTTTAACATATTTTGATTTACCATCGAAATTTCGATGCTACGTTGCCAGGTTATTCCAATTTCTTTGAAATTTTTCAGCAATGGATGGATTAACAAAAAAATCTCAATAAGGTCATTTTAAAATCTTGCTAACAATATTATGTAGAGAGACATACAAATATGTGAGCTTTTATTATGACATAAAAGATTGGGTTTTAATTAAATCACACAAATTGTCAAATAACGATATTTCAGAGAATAAAAAACAGAAAAACACGGGGTATAAAATATAGGGTGTTTTATTTGAGAAGACAGAAATATTGACATTTGAAAATTGTAAAGTTTAATTTTCTTTTAATAATAAACATTCTATATATTAAAGTATTATTTAATTTGTAATTTTATACCACAATTAAAATATTGCAACAGAGAACCTAAAAAATAATATTATTGCAAAGCCTAAGAAAAAGCCAATAATAATATACTCCTATAAAATATGAAAGTCTAATATAAGGCTCTATTTAAAAAACTAAGTTGTGTGCGCTTAGTAATTCACCCTGTACAATATAATAACGAATTGGTTAACATTTAATTTACATAAAAAAAAAACTACTAAACTCATTTCAATAAACATTAATAAATTATAAAATTAATTATATTTCATTGATTTAAAAAAATAAAAATCACTAAATTTCGGTTACTTTTTTTCAAAAATAGCGAACTCATTTTATGCAGTTCGACGTTTACTTCCGGCTACTTAGGCACAATTTCCCTTGCTCCTGAAATAAAGTACATGTTCCGGTTTTTCAAAAAATTATAAAATTTGATTTTGCGGCTTCGTCCATTACAAAATTTTGTGATAATCTTCTTTTGAATGACACTGTATAAATAAGTATTTCCAAATAACACATTTTAGACAAAATTTATTCGGTAAAATTTTGAGAATATGTCAGTTTTTTGAGAGGAATAAAAGGATAAATTTTGATGAACGATTTATTAGGATTACGATATGCCTAAAACGTTTGCAAGATTTTACAACACTCGATTTTGCAGTTCCAGTGTTAAATTGTAAAAGTGTTATATAATTTTGAGTTTTTTTTTAAAGTCTGGATGTTTAAGTTAAAAAATAGTGTCGGAGTATGTTATTTTATAAAATTTAAATCACATTTACTATGCAACACTTTGAGGTGACGTCATCACGGTGTTGGTGACGAAAATTAGTCAAATTCTGGTTCCGGTTGCACGACATTCGCAAGCTACACATAAAATTTAATAAAATGATCCAGTAGTTTCGGAGATAATCTGTCAAAAAAGTCGATGCAAACAGACAGACGGAAACGGAAAACCTATTGTTTCGTACTCTAGGGGCCATGAAAGATCTTCCTCTCGGGAAGCAAAAATATCTCTTCGAATTGTTGACAAAAAACTAAGTCTGTGTGAATTAAGTTCTAACACTTAATATCTCAAAATCTTAGTATTTCTACAGTTAAAAATAAATACGTCAGATGGATATATCTAAAAACACCACAAAACAGATTTTCCAGTTGATGAAACTTATTTAGATATATTACACTGACCGGCAAAAAAACCGGCTACCCTGAAATATTTCGCAAAATCACTTTACAATTTATATTTTAACTAGTGATTGTATTTATTTGTCTCTTTTTTTAGCTAAATTGTATATTCTGTGTCAAATAAATATTTAAAGCGATTTTGCGAAATATTTCAGGGTGGCCGGTTTTTTTGCGTGTCAGTATATTTCATTCTATATAAGTTTTATAACGACAAGAATTGGTGATACTCTTAACGGAGAACGTTTACTAAAATTAAATAAATTGTAAAATGTTCAGAGTACAGAATACGAGCTCGGTTTTAAGCATTTTCTCCAAATGTGGAGAAGGTAATAAAGGGAAATTATCGTTATCACCTCAAATAAATACGTAGACCATTTTGATTGTGTTTGTCAAAAAAATCTAACATTTTTTGAAGGTTCCAACTATTTCATAATAAATTGCACTTGCTTTCAATAAGGGAAATAAAATTCCTACCCGATGAACACTTAGGGTTGGCTTAAAAAAACGAGAATTGAAATAAGCAGCTCTGTCAGATTTTATTAATTTTTCATAGTTTGAAACAGCTTTTTAGAATTTAAGTTAAAAAAGTTCCACTTATATGTCAAAAATGATACTTTTTAACATATAAGAATTGACATAAACTGACAAATTAAATTTTCAATTCACTTTAGGTCAAATTTCATTTCCCCTTTTTTTTGAAGCCAAGCGTAAGTGTTCATCGGGTCGGAATTTTGTATTTCCGTTACTAACAACGATTGTAATTTATCATCTACGTATTTATTTGACGTGAAACCATCAGTTTAAACGTAACTAATTTTGAACTACGACCCAAGCAAACTCCAGTTTTTAACGATAATTATTTCGCTTTATTACCTTCTCCAGATTTGGAGAAAATGCTTAAAACCGTAGCATATTTCATTCAGAAACTGCAGTCTAAACGGCACGCCCTTTTAAAATTTCTCAGCACAGATAATTTCGTTTTTATCTCGTTGGAAAAGTTGGCTAAAATCGATAATGACAAATGGCACAAACGCTGAACATTGGCTATGTTCTTACTCCAGTGTGTCACCAATCCGGCTATGGAAATTTTGGTAACTGTTGGTAGTAAAACAATTTTATTTTCGTAGTATTTTTGTGCTTTTATGGGCGAATCACGTTTTAGCATGAATTGTCGCTATATCGAGTGTAAATAACAAATTTGTGTGGCACCAGGAAGTTCCGTTATCATAATATTCTGTCAAGTCAGGTAAATTATGTCCGGAAAATGTCATTCCGGAGCGAAACGCTAGACCGTTTAGCGTTCGTGTGTATGCACTTACGTGAAATGTCAACATATAAATTTTTACAACTTACCTGTGCTAGGAGTTGTGGTCCTGCACCGCTCTCGTTTATCCTAAATACGAACGGTCCATCTCCGAAGCATTCCTCAAACATTATCCCGCCTCAAACTGATCCTACAATTTACTCAAAATTTGCATCTACAACAAACAACAACTACCCTTCTACATTTGTTTCTGTGGTGGCGCCTGAGACGTTAGTTCAAAACCGAAGTTTTGCGTGAATATGGAGTGAAGTGCAGCGAACTGGTGGATGAATGGAATGGAATGGGCTTTCGTGGATGGAAATAATCGAGTAGATGCCATGGTGTACCTTTTTTAATCTTTCCCCCGTCGAGCACAAATCACAGTCGATCAGACACTTTTAACCTAAATATAAAGAAATCCATAAAGAAAATTAAAATTCGGCTGAAGCACGCGGTGTCTCGTGAGCGAGTTCACTGACTACGAAATTCAGCTCTTAGCGTCGTGACGCCAAACCAGACGCAGTCGTTGTCAGCGGAGACATTCGCCTCATTCATGCTGCTACCAGGAAGCAGGAAACTCTTATATAGACGCATGAACGGTCGTAGGGGAGCGCAGGGACGGTAGCGGAAGTTAACGGAAGTTTCCCGCCTAAAATAACATCAATGGAAATATGCAAAGCGGAAGGATAATCAATCTTTCGCTGATTTTTTAACTTTCGTGACGCAGAAATATGATTTTTATCCACAGGTACGAAGCAACTTTTACCTTAAACAATAACTTTACGTGAAGATGATTTGGTGAAACTGAGGCAATAAAGAATATATTACATAAAGAAGTGTTGTGTTTTTTTAATTTCTTAAAAAAAAAACATTCCTACTAAACATTATTTTATTCAATTATTGAAGAAACTATAGCAACATTAAAATTAAAGTGGAGGTGTTTTTTAATAATAATAATAATAATAATTACCTGGTGGTAATTTTTTTTCTCAAACTCATTAAGAGTGGAAATTTATAAAGAAGTTACAAAATTTACCGCTGTAACCTGTTTAACGCCTGGCAATTCTGGCAGTTCTACCAAGGAAGTGAGTAAACTGTTATTATTAAACTCATATCTTGCCTATAATTAATTTAAACATTTTTAATAGTATATTATGTCATCTGATGAAAGTTCGTCGCAAGCGATCCTAAAAGGTAAATTAGTGATGGGGAAAAAAGAAATAAAAGCTACTTTAATGTGTATAGTGTGCTATTTTAAAATCATAATAGAAAGTAGTATTAAATTAGAAACACTAAGTTTTTCCCTTAATGGTTCAATGCAAATAATTGCAGCCGTTCATAATTTTCTAAAAAATGTTTCAGGTACCGTGGGAACGTCAGTGCTACAGAAATTTGAACATACAGGGTTTCTATAAATGATTATAGGGTTCCAGTAAGTAGGTCATGTAAACGTGCCGCCTCTCAGACTTGAACTGTACTAAATGCCCAAGGACGCATGACAAAGACCACACGCATCTGTATAACTGGTTGCCTAAATGCTTCATATCTTTTTAAAAATAATAGTTAATTAAATTATTACACCTATTAGTTGTTGTTTCTATTAAACTGAATTTGTGTCAAATACTGTTCTTATTATTATTATTTTAAGTTGGTTTGTTATTTCTTTTGTTTTGTTATTCATTTATGTATAAGTACACATACTTTTATTTAACGTTCATGGAAAATGTGGTTTATAGTTTCGGTTTCCTGTTTTTTTGTCACTATCTACGATAATATTAGGTTATTCATTCATTGCTCTGTAATTGGTTCGCTTCACTGTTGGGCAATAAACTTATTATTGTTATTGTTATAAAATAAAACTAATTCATTACAATAAAAAGAAACAAATTTATTGCGGTTAAACATCACAGTAAATGTTGAAAATGTTCACCATTTTGTTGAAGGCACATGTTCACTCTCTTTTTAATTTAAAAAATGTTCTGTAATCCTTTTGTCAATGCCCACTGTTCAATTTTATGCTGCAACAGGAACTCCTGACTGCTGAGAAACTTTTGTCAAAGATGTTTGCGGATTCTGCTCAAGTCGTCAACAACTTCCTCATGTACTGAAGGTCTTCCACGAGATTTCTCTTCGTTGACACTGCCAGTTCGAACAGATCTGTTGATTACATATCTAATGTGAGCCTCTACCGATGTTTCTTGAATTATTATATCATACTAATTATTATGAATTGAATTATTAATACATACGTGTACAACTGTGTCTGTTTTTTTAATGACAGACAATTACGTAAACTAGAAGAACATGCAATAACTGTTTATGGTATTAATCCCTAAAATTATGTGCACATCTTTCTGACCGCAGCGCACAACTGGCCTGTGGGATTAGGATCACCTGCACATTTTTTTTGACCTAGACATATCGCCAGACAAAGGCTTCAAAGTTATAACACCCCACTTTTTGCTCCGAGGGAAATAAATGTATTAAAATAAAAGATGAACAGGCTGAATGAAACAAGAGTGAAAGTGATGTCGTCAATCCTGATTCAAATAAGAAAATGTCTGATGAAGAATCAATAGTACTCCTACGTAATATTTCGAGACTATCTCAGATTGCCAACCATTTTTTTTTATAAATATTTTGTCAGATTACTTTCCGAAGAAACTTTAAAATGTTATTTTGGTTTTTGGGACGAAGAATTATTATTATGTACGAGACACGTGCTTGTTAAAATCCTGTGTACTTGTGTTTATTTTACATGTGGTAACAAACCAACATTTTTTTCAAAACATTGTAAAAGCGGCGAAACATGGCTTTAAAATGTTTGGGGAAAAATTCTTCGAGACCAAAATGCCTAAAAATTTTCTAAACCCTGAAAAATGTCCCGTGAGGATTTACAAACCAATTTGAGAGCTTACTGTTTTATAGATGATTTTGATTATTCTTATTTAGATTATACCGCAAACTACGGAAAAATGAGGAAACATATCAGCACAGAAGTCTCTTCTTAACACCGACTGTTGCTTCAGGAAAAAATCGGATATCAAATACTGTTTTATGATTTTGTTATGTACGTTGAACGGGTATTTAAAATTGGCGTGGGTTAAATTCAACGGTTTATTTCTTAGTAACTCGAATTTACACGACGAATTACAGAGCGATTATGTACAAAATAATTTCACCGCAACTGGATTTTCTCGACACTCGCTGGACTCGACTCGACTGAATAATAATCGATCCCGAAGGTGGCCTCTATTTAAACCCATACTTTCTTCTAGACGTTCGGCGACCGGGATCTTTCGGGAATACCCATCGTGAGTTCCGCTTCCAGGCTTTTCTTTAGCGACGACGAGTCATCATCGCCGTACATACTACAACCCATAGGCGTCGTACCGGGACGGCGTATGGGTTTCTTTCGTAACAATTCGTTTGTAAGCAATATTATCCAAATTTTTTACCGAAGCTGGCAGTTTATTATAAAATTTGATACTAAAATAGTTCACTCCGTTTTGTACTTGTTTCAATCGTAATTTTTAAGACACAAATCCGACTTAATTTTTGTGTTGTGATTATGGAGCTCCTTATGGCAAGAGCAGTGACCGAGGTTTTTTTTTAATGTAGAGATGGAAGTGTAATAAATATTTTAAGATCAACATATTATGCAATTTTGTAGTCCTCTCTGTAGGTTAATCCGACTGATCACTCTTCGTTGTAATTGGAATAATCTATGTTTGATGCTGGCATGCCCCCAAATTAATAGTGCAGAAGTGAGATGTAACTCACAGAGAGCAAAACAAGCTGTTCATTCTTTTTTTAAATGCAACTATTTCTAGGTGGACATTCCAACATAATTTAGAATCTAGATCAACCCCTAGAGATTTTTTCAAATGTAATACAAATTGATTTTTGTAGAACCAGTCCAAAGCCTTCCATCGTGAATCTTTAATCTTTAATCGTTATTGATCACCAATGTGTGCAATATAAAATACAATAATACAATAAAATGACAGGGTATACATAATAGAGACAACAGAACGTTTCACGTTTCCATAACACCTAAAACGGCATGAGCATGACTTAAAATAGAATTTATTGAGTCATGGTGTAAATCACAATATTGACAAAGAACGTTGTATGTGGACATCAAAATTGCTACTGGAGCTTTGACTGCTACATTGGTACGTCTGTAAGAGAGCCTAAACAACGGAGCATAACGCAGTCCAGGACGAGGAACATGAAACTGAAGGAAACCCAAGATAAAAGGGCAATCAATTTTACCATGAGCTAAATTATATAGGAAACGGAAGACTATTAACATTCTTCGAGTTTCTAGAGAAGAAAATTGAAATCTATACAAGAGAATATTGTAATCGATGCCACATACAGGATAAGCACCGTCCATTCTGAAGGTGAGAAATTTTAAAAAACGTCGATGCACTTTTTCAATGGACATATTATATGTTCTATAGATGGGGACCAGATCAACGCACCATATTCAAGGTGAGGTTGCACCAATGAGCAAAACAAGGTCTTCAAAATGGTCAAATCGGTAAAACTCCTATAGTTTCTACTCGTATATATGAAACCGTAGATTTTGAATGAAACAGGATATCTTTGAAATAGAAGTTGCGGAGAAATACTGTTCCTTCAATTGAATATAGATCTATATACAGGGTTAGTCACGAGAGAATTACCTCTGAAAATTATTTTTACGCAACCCAAAATACGAATACCATGTACCATTTGATACTAACTGATTTTAAAATGAAATGCTTAATCCATGATTGCTTTGAGTTTGACAATCTCATTTTGACAATTGTGGAAAAGGAGGTTACGCGAGTGTCCATGGTGGTACCGCAGCCAGTCGGAAATCTCCTCCGGCGCCGCTAATAAATTTGTCAGTGTGCCTCTTGATCTTTTGCAACCGATTAATCACGAGAAAATTATTTCTAAAAATTCCTTTTACGGCATTTTATTCAAAGGTTACAACACAAACTCAAACAAGTAAGTAAATAATTTAACTACTAATCTGTTGAAAATGTTGGGCATTTTGGCGGGATGCTACGGCTTTTTTGTAAATGGATGGCCGAAGAAGTCCAGAGGTTGTAGATTTGCACTTCGAAGAGGCTCTCTGTGACGCAGAGATGGCGAATTAACACAGGTACATTAGCGGCGAACAACATTGGTAGAGCACTTACGGCTTCAGTATAGCCCAGATTGATCTGACTGTATGTCGTCGATCCAATGGGGCTCTAGAGGCGAGTCAACGATGAAACAAAATGTTAAAAATTAATTAACGTCAAAGTGACACTGCCAAAGTCAACGCAATCATGGATTAGGCATTTCATTTTAAATTTAGATAATATCAAGTGGTACAGGGTATTAGTATTTTGGGTTGCGTAAAAATAATTTTCAGAAGTAATTCTCTCGTGACTAACCCTGTATATTGAAGTTGAGTTTTTTGTAAAGGATACAATACTGCATTTAGATAAATTTAGGCGAAGACAATTAGAACTACACCACTTGGATAGAACATTGAGACAATTTTGTAA